CTCGCCTGCTGGGCTCTGGCGATCCTTCCGCCTCAGCCTTCCGAGGAGCTGGACCTACAGGCGCCCTACCACGCCTGGCTAATTTTTTCATTTATTGTAGAGATGAGAGCTCACCAAGTTGCCCAGGCAGGTCTCGAACCCGCGGGCTCAGGCAATCTGCTCACCTTGGCCTCCCAAAGCACTGGGATTACCGGCTGAGCCACCGAGCCCGGCCTAATTTTTTATTTATTGTAGAGATGAGGTCTCGCCAAGTTGCCCGGGCTGATCTTGAAACCGTGGTTCAGGCAATCCACTCGCCTTGGCCTCCCAAAGCGCTGGGATGACAGGCTGAGCCACTGAGCCCGGTCTATTTTTATTTTTTTGAGAATGTAGGATTTATTGAAAGGACAGAAAAGCTCCCACCGTGGGAGGGGACCTGAAGGGCTTGCACGGCCTCCCTCCACCTTTTAGGTGCTAGTAGTACCTCCCCTTCCCGGCTGTGACCATCAGGCATGTCTCCAGACATTACCAAATGTCCCCTGGGGGGCAAAATCGCTCTCCTGTTGAGAACTACCTCTCAGAGTCTGGTCACCGAGGGCTGACATGCTTTGCCCGAGCCAGGACACATCCTCCACACAGGGACCGACCCAGAGGCTGGTGCCAGTGCTGCAGCCCCAGGCAGGGTGGCGACTGCGTCTTACACAGGCTCGCAAGAACACTGTGCAGAGGCGTTTAACTAGGCCTGGGGCAGGGCTCAGAAGCCTTCCTGGAAGAGGTGGCCCCTCAGCTAAGTTAGTTTGTTTGTTTGTTTCTTTCTTTTTCTTTTTCTTTCCTCTTTCTTTCTCTCTTTCTCCTTCTCTCTTTCTTTCTTTCTTTTTTGCATTGGCATCGCATTCTGTTGTCCAGGCTGTAGTGGCTCACGGATTACAGGTGTGAGCCACTGCGCCCAGCCTCAGCAAAGTTTCTAAGGGAAGAGTTCGCTGGGTGGGGTGCAAAGTTGACAATAACTGTATGAAGAGAAATTGTCAACAGCTGGGTGTTGTGGAAGGGGCGAGGGTGTGTGGAGGCTGGTGTGGGCTCCGGTCCACACCAGTTCAGGAGCTGGGCTTGATCCTGAGGGCTGTAGCGTGAAGAGTTTTAAGCCAGCCGGTGGGGTGTTTGTGCTGGAATCATTGGAGGAGCAGGAATAGAGGCTGCGGGGCGGGGAGGGTACTCCAGGCCATCAGTGGGGACTGGCCCCGGGTAGCCTCTGAAGGGGTGGAGATGGGTGAACAAAGGGGGTGCTTAGGTGGTTGAACGGGAGAACCAGGTGATCGATGAGATGGGACAGCTGGGCAGAGGATGGGTTGGGGCAACAGCTGGGAGGAGCTGGCCTGGGTGCCTTGAGATGCCAGTAACAGAGCTGAGGAACCAAGGGCATTGGGGTCGCTGTGACCTCGTCCTATGGCTCACTCCACTCCAGTCACCCGACTTCCTCGCTGTCCTCGACACCCCTGGCACATTTCTGTCTCAGGGCCTTTGCACATGCCATTGAGTGCTCTTCTGGGAGGCAGCTTCATGGCTAGCTCCTGGTTACATTCTGTACGTGTCACCTATTCAGGGACATCTCTTTATCCCTTACTCTTACTACTCCCTGATACATATTCCATACTTGCTTACTGTCTGCTGTTCCCACAGGCCAGCCCCAGGAGGGCAGGTGTGTTCACCCTGCAGCCCAGCCTCAAGAGCCGCTCTGCTCCGCGCAGGCCACTAGCCACACATGGTGCTCAAGCCTTGGAAGCGCGGCTGCTTCCAACTGCGATGGCGCGAAGTTCAAGTACTCGCCAGACTTGGAAGACTTCATGTGGGAAAAAGAACGGAAATTATCTCCCTCATACTTTTTTTTTTTTTTGAGTTGAAGTCTCACTCGGTCACCCAGACTAGAGTGCAGTGGCCGCTTCTGGCCACCGCAGCCTCGCCCGCTGGGCTCCAGTGATCCTTCCACCTCAGCCTTCTGAGTAGCCGGAATTACGGGCATGCGCTACCACGCCCGGCAGATTTTTTTATTTATTGTAGAGATGAGGTCTCACTGCCCAGGCGGGTCTCGAACCCGCGGGCTCAGGCGATCCACTCACTCCTTTTACTTTTTTAATGTGGCTAAGGAAAAACCTGAAATTAGACATGTGACTCACATGCTATTTCCACTGTATATGCTGATCTTGAACATCACCAGTTTATAGTAGGTGCTCAAACATAGTAGGTGCCCCACAAATATTTGTTGAATGACTGTATCTGGAAAGAAGCTGGACGACTACCTCTAAGTTTATGGGGGGGTCCAGGCTGTGGTCAGGGAACTGTCATCAGAGAGATGATGGCACCATCAGCATTGATGGAGTGCTGGGGTGTGGTGGCGGTGTGGCCTGGGGACATCTTCCTTCTCATCCCACACCTGTTTACCAAGCACCCATGATGTGCCCTGGTCTGGGAGAGAGTCATGCCCTCCTGCAGAAGTGACCTCCCTGGGGAGCATGGTGCCTTGGGGTGTCCAGCTTTCACCTGGGGGCTACCGGGGAAGGCCCCTCCTTGAAGGTGTCTGTTTTCTTTCCCCAGGGAGACCAGGAGGAGGACAGGCATCAGCCAGGGAGAGAGAAGGCTGCAGAGCATGGGCGGCTGCTCTGGGCAAAGGAACAGTGTTGAGACACTCGGAAGCAAAGGTGGGCGTGGCGATCGCTGAGGACAGAGGGTTCATTACTGTCTGAGCACAGAAAGAAGCCACCAGAAGCGTAACAGGGGCTGGACGCCTGAACCTGCCGGACTCCGGAAGCCTCTGGAGGGTGCTGGACCTGGCCTGAGGGCAGGGGAGCCCCCAGGGGTTTGAGGAGGGGGTGATCTTGAGCCCCCCAAGCTGCTGTGAAGGGGTACGTGAAAAGAGAGCGGTGACCCCGGGACACAGGAGGAAGCCCGGCAGAGGGGCGTCTGGGCAGGCAGAGGCAGAGCCGGGTCGGCAGGGTCCAAGGCCCCCAAGGTGCGGTCAGATGAAGCTTCTGGACTGGTCACTCATGTCCTGGGTGATCTTACTGAGAGCAGCCCACTGGGAGGGGAAGGAGCACAGAGAGGCAGAGGGATCTCCCACCCCCCAACGTGGCAGATGGGCTGGGTTGGGGCGGTAGGGAGGGGCCACCCGGCAGTGCACGTCGGAGGTCACAGATAGGCTCACCCAGGATGCCCGTGTGCACGCAGCACACAAGAATGTCCATGGGTACAGGTGGGCACACACGGCTCACAAAGGGGCACACACAGAAAGCCCACGCAGGTGGCCATGGGCAGGTGTGCACAACAGAGCTCACAAGGGCGTCCGTGCGCACGCACAGGTCACCCACGGCACACGTGCCCGTGCGCGCGCACACAGGTCGCAGGGGCGACGTGTGGCCACGTGCAGCATGCGCACGGACATCGCACAGGGCTCACCGGGAGCACGTGTGCACACTCCCCGAGCTCGCGCGGGGCCCGCTCCTCTCTCCGGACAAGGAGAGGCCTGGAAATGCTGGTATCGCGGTTGCTTTTGTGCCCAGTAAAACCACCGGGTCGCCAGCGGCCCTCTAACCCGCCCTGCCCCCTTCCTGTCCGCGCTCTAGGCCGCGGTCCCTTTCTCTCCTCCGGGATC